AAAAGATAATAAAAAGGAAGCTAAATAAACATAACAAAAAGATCCAGCAGGAAATYTACTTCAAATATGGGGTTGATTTTAAAACTTGTTGCTTCCTTAAATATATCCTAGCAATTTCAGTACCTAAATGTAAGCAAAATCAAATAAAATGAAAAGTGTAACATAAGGATCCTGTAGGCGYTCACTTGTTTACATTTCAAGTGGCTTTTATTGATTTTTCACTACGTGCTGTTACATTGAGGAAAAAAAAGAAAATGTACTTGCAGGACCATGGGACCACATAGTTTTATTAAACTTTAAATATTTTGGACTTACACAGCAAAAATAATCTTAGAAGAGGATGGATACACAACATTTTCTATAGTTCTACACAAGACAATRGAGAATAAAAACAATGTAGACAACAGTGATGAAGACAATGCAATAATGCAACACTTGAGCAAATGTATGAACAGTATGACAGTGAGTACATAGTACTATTGTTTATCACAATAAAACAGTTGAAGCTGTGATGTAACAACTAATATATTTTAAAATAAAATGATTTGGTTTCATAGATTTTTATTTTGACTATTAACGTTGAGACTTTTTAGGTGATAATACATATTTTAATACAAGTGAACTGATTCAGAAGTATTAACTGCCAACTGAATCCTTGTGCAGCCCCTGAAACTACTTGTAAAAAACAAAAATCACGTCTTTTATGCAGTTATTTCTTAATGCCTTATTCACTGCATGCATTAAAACTCACCTCTCCCTACAAGAACAGCCTCCTTACAAAAGGAGCTGTGCAGAGAATGTGGAAACCCACAATGGGAACTTTTACCTTCAAAAAGAACAACCTGCCTCGGCTCGGAGGAGGCTGAACCCCGGCTCGTTGCATTTCATGCCACCGCATCACCGAGGGCCCCTCGGTGCCCTCAGCTCTTTTAGAAACTTCAACAACTCCCCTCACAGCCCCCCGTAAGGTGCCTGCTGGCTTCCCCGGTTCCCTCCCACCCGCTTTGTGAAGAGGATTTGAACCCGTGAAAGGCACAACAATGTACAATGGGCCCTCCTTTTTGCCACCCATGAACCAGTTATGAAGGGAGAGGAATATGGACGAAGAGGGTGGGAGGTATGTGGGGGTGGTGGATGTGCAGCCGTTTTACTTTGAGGGTAAAGTGGGGTGGCGGCCTGTAAGGTGCGGGATGCATGCTAATCACGCCCTCCTCTTTTCTGCTGCTGGGGTGCGAGATGGATTGACAAAGACCCAGCAGATGAACCAAGCTGGCCCTCGGTCACCCCCAGCTGAAGCTCGCTGCTATGAAAACCACATTCTTCCTCACAAAGACCCTGTGTTCTCACGGCCGCATGTTCGGCGGCGGCGCTCCATGTCACTCTGCTGTCTCACACTTTTGCCCACGCTCAGTTGTTCTACTGTCTTGACTCGATCACTGAGCTCATTTTTCTCTCTGTGTACCCATTCTTCTGCCACGGCTTCATATTTGCGCCTAACAGAACATTTGCATACCTTCCGTCCAACTCACATATTTGTCACCGAATTTTGGGAAGCGCGAAGCCCACGCCAGCGGGTTCACAGTGACACCCAATGTTTTGGACTCAGCCCATGTCAAAGGTTTCTGTTATTTCATTATTTATTTCATTCAGATTTCAGATTTCACTATCGGCAATGCAGCCCCCAGAACACAATGTTTTGTGCAACAGTGAACTGTTCAGTACAAATGAAAGCATTTATGTTGTACGGTTAAAAGCCTTGCMTTCCTTGAAAGAATGCGTATCGCCCGTCGCCTTTTATGAACWCGAACAACTAGACTAAAAAATTCTCCCACTTTTTTGACCATTTTAACTGCAAAAGGAACATAAAATGAAAAAAGGAAGTCCTTTTGCCCAGTTTTTACAGAATACTTGGAATATTTTATTTGCTGCTCTCTGCTCTGTTCATTCATTCTGTTGCTGTCCTCCACCCCACTACTCTCTGCACTGTGTGTGGGAGAGAGGTGACAATTAGGTTTATTTACAGACTTCCTGCAATGGTGCAAATAAAATCACCGTAAGAAAACAAATCTTGGCTGTTATTCTCTACTTTTCAGAAACTGTCACAGTTGTTTCTGGTTGCACAAAATGTTTTTTTTKGGGGGGGTCAAATCTAATAAATACCCACACCAAATTTGAACTGTCTGTAAATTTGACTGAGATGTAACCCAGTTGTGGCAGCCATCATGGAGTGGATTGAGTTGAAAATATAACCAGTTGAAGACGTTCATTTAAGAGTTTCTTCAAAATCTGACCACTGTTTCACAAGATATTTTGTTTACAGACAGAAAAATGAACACACATAGGCAGGTATTGCCCACCTTTTGGGGGTAGATGGGTTATAAAGTTACAAGTTTCTTGAACATGACTAGTTTTACACACATCGATTTGTTTTGTCTAAACTGGGCTCAACAGGTAAGAATGGTGTTTAAACACATTGTTAGGTCAGTTGATCAGCATCTTTTTAAAGCGTGAACTTCAAAGTCACCACAATAAAACTCATGTTTCTTTCAAAGCTTCAGCCCGTTGAACATTTGCTTTTTGTGAAACGAGACAGACACCAGATAAACGGCCGTAAATCTAATTATATGTTGCGCTCGGCGTCAGTTTTGACTTTTGCCTGAACAAATTGAAGGGGTTTCAAATTGATGCTCCACCTTCAAGAAGCCACTTCGTTTTTTATTTAGTTTGCCATGGATTAAAAATAAACTCTCTCTGTTGATGTGTCGGCCTTGAAGGGTTCAGAACCAAGAATTTCCCGAACACATTTACAAGCATAGACTGTAATTTTTGAGCTATTATTTAAGAGCTTATTTTTTTTAAATGCTAAATATTTTCAGGTTGTTCTTTTAGCCTTCATGTGTTTGATACTGTACAGATGTGACCTTTCCAACAGGGTGAAAAGAATCTGATCTGAGTTCAGGTGCAGTGTTGAAGAGGTGAAAGAGCTCAGCAGTGTGTGGTCATGTTGGGGTAAAATGAGGAGGTGGGCTGGGATGGGGGGGTCTGTACACATGTGTATGTTTGGAGAACTGGTGTTGACACAGACACAGCCGCTCCATTGTCCTCCTCAATCTGCAGTCAGGATGTTTGAGGGACGCCTCGTCGCTCGGCTTCCTCTAATCTCTGCTGGAACCTAAAAAAAAAACCCCGCGGCTCCACGGGCCTCTGGTCCTCCAAAACACCGTCAGCACCGGTAAAAGCCAGGCACATGCTGGTGAGAAAAACTGGGAAGGTTACAGCTGAAAATTATGGAGCAGTCAATTACAGATTACACATGAGCTGTTTGAAAATTGCAGGCAGCGAAATAACCCGAGGGATTACTCCAAATCCACTAAGTAATCCTTTGATTTTAATGGCTCGTGATTTAGTTTTGTCTTTTGAACATTTAAAAAAAATATATAGAAATGAAGCCATATAAACAACTTTTATGGGACTTCTCTGCACTTTAAAGTAATATTATCAATCACTTTCTTCTCTAATGGGTTATTCTCTGTGTTTTCTGTACTTTGAAAGGAAATTTTTCCCTTTTTATTTTTAAATGGGCCAAAAAATGGTTTTGTCTTTGTTGATGCTCCAATGAATTTGAATATTACTCACTGTTTAGTGTTTGAAACATTCCCATTTATAAAACAGGGGAATTTAGTCCTGTTACTTTAATAGTGTTGTGCAATGATGGTATTTATTACTGATTATAGACTTTTTGATCTGAGGGAAAAAATTAAAAAGGAAAAATATTTTTCTCTTCTGGGAAAAATATGGTTTGTAACAAAATTCACATTTTAACGTTTCAATATTTCACTGATGTCATAAAATAGGAGTAAAAAAATCAAACCTACAGTTTCTACACGTCTTTGCTTATTACCAGAGAATGCAGACTGTTTTCTTAATTTCAACTTCTCAGAGATTAATTATTCATTTTGAGCTCTGAGGCTGGTAATGTGCTGTAGACTGGCTTTTATCCTGAAGGAGACTTTGTCAGGCCCCCAGGAAAGTGATATAAGTAGATTCATTTCAAGGTGGTTGTTACTCCAAAGAATTTATTAGATTTAGTTAATGAGAGAGCGAGGCAGAGTGCAGGTTGGGGAGCTGGAACGTAATTAAGCTGCGGGTCTGACGATGCCACTGTTACACACTTTGATTAAAAACACACTCGGCAACTAATCTCCACCAAATTAAAGTGGTTACATCATTTGGCATGGTCACCTTTTTTGGTTCTTTCCTCCAAATTAGACAAATCCCTCTTTCCTTTTTGCCCCTGTCTGTTCACACCACCTCCTCACCTTCTGCACTCCAACTCCCCAACCCTCTGAGATCTGGGTAACCTTTTTTTTTCAGGTTTATAACTTCCATATGCCCTGCTGGGCCTTTTATGGCTGGACTGCGTAATACAGGAGAAGCTTTTATATTTCCAGGCCAGTACACATATGTTTTCATGTCTGAGCAATAATGAGTGTTGGTATAGATTTCCTGTGGCTCAAACACTAGACTTAATTGACCCAAACAGCTCTGAGTGACTTGGCACCTCCCGTCTCAACCTTACCCCTCTGTCCCGTTG